ATCGGTAAAGCGGAAGGCGGACAGATAGAGACGGATAAATATAGGCGGAAAGAAGAGGGTAACATACATCGGATAAAAGGAGCGGAAAAAAGAAAGGATTCTCTTTCCACGAATAAACGACACACCGTGCGCTTTTTTGCAATTTAAAGTGAGAGTCGGTTTTCTCTTCGGTCGGATCCACTTCCGCCGGATGACGGATACGTACGTACACGAAAGAGCGACGCTGTTGCAACGCACGTCACGTAAGTGGATGAATAAAAAAAAAAAAAAGAAAATCTCGCAGTAAATCCGGGCAGCAAATCAACGACGCTTTTTTGCGTTTTTTTTTGCTTGGACGCGCTTACATCATCGTCCTATCAGCCGGCGGCGACGTTCTCTCTTCGGAATCTTTTTCATAAGAAACCAGTAATTGGATAAGAAGTAAGCTTCATAATGATCAGGTACAAGCATTTTTATTTAGCGAAATTATATCTAATATTTAAAATCAAATCAGATTTTACTGACGCATAGAGAATTTATACATTATATTTTATCCGTAAACACTATAAATATTGTATGCCGTATGAAATGAGATCGAACTTGTGCATTCTGATTTAGTATATTGTTATTATTTTACTTATTGGTTTACTATAATATTTTATAATAAAAAATTATAAAAGTTATATAAATTTATAAAAAAATAATATAAAATGTTTGAAAATTTTCAAACAAAAAAATATGGCTTAAAAATGAAAAGCACTAAAGTTGTATTAGATATTTTTTAAATACCTTTTTAAAGTAGCCGCTATTTAATTACTTTTTTAATAATCTAGATAATTCAGCTATATTTATTTAATCTTTCACAGTAAACAGAAAGTATAAAGTTACTTTATAAATTAAGTTTACATTTTTAGAAAAAGCATTTTATAACTGCAATTTTATTTTCTTGAAATTAAATAATGCTATGTTAAGTGCAACTGTGCTAAATAAAATGCCTATATTTATTTTCAAATTAAGAAAAAAATATAGAGGTGTGAATCGGACTTTTGAGTACCTTTGGTGAAACATTGTTCAATGTTTTACATACGGTTTCGGACTTTTATTCGGTAATATATGTGCCTTAACGCAGAAAAAAGCTAAAGTGATTATACCAGTCAGAGAAACGAATTGTAAATGGAGGAAAAAAATGAGGAAAAAATTTGGAAAATTTGCGAATCGTGTTGACGAAATCCCGCGGTCGGTCCCGACAAAAGATTGGAATATCCGCGCAGAAGAGGACTTATTGGAATTCGGGGAGATTCAAGGGTCTGAGAATCGTTAGAATAATTGACGCCAGCCGTCGCATCACCATCTGCAAAAGTATCAAAATGCAGAAAGGGGTTTGACATCACGTAATGCGAGCCTTACGACTGTTATAAATCTCCCGGCACGAAAATTGGCGCCAATAACGGCGCGCAAAGCTCTGGCCCGCTCGTAAAAACCATGAATCAAATATCTATTCCGCGCAAAGTAAACACAGAAAATTACGCGCCAACGTTATAATCGCGGCGAGGACGGTTTCGGTAGGATTTAGATTTTCGCTTTTTCGATAAAAAAAAAGTATTCCGAAAGGAAATTTTCCTTTCCAAAATTCCTAAATTGTCTCTATTTTCTTCGGCTTAAAAACAAATTAAAAACTAATATAAAATTATTGATATGATTAATCGCTCTATTCATTCGTTCTATCCGCATTTTAATCATTCGAATTTTTCGAAATGTCCTAAACTTGATTTTTTTTTTTTTTTTTTTTCTACAAAAAACAATCTATATGCAAAAATATGAAATAAATTATTTTCAATTATAATATAAAAAAAAATCTATAATCTATAGATAGGTAGCATCATATAGTTTAGAAAACAAATCCCCAATTCTACTTCCTCTTTCTCTTTTATTTTTCAAATAAAATTATTTAAAATTTTTGCATTAAATTCTCAATATCTTCTCTCGATCGCAATGACATCACAGTTTTCGGAAAACTGCATATCTTCCCGTCGCCGCCACCGTAAGCAAATAGCATAGCTTATCGTGTGTCTGATCGACATAGACGTATTTGAATATACCGCGAGCGCAAAAACGATCGTAAGTTTTCGCGATAGCCCACAATTACCTACCCATAATTCACAGGCCGACATCTTTCGTGCTCCGCGTGGTCTATTCAGATCCGTCCGGTATCGTGCTATCTTTATAATAAATTTGTAAATTCCGCAGCTGCGATCGACGCAATTATTTTTATTAAATCTTAATGTTTCTGTTAATTGAATGTAGTAACTAAGAATATTTAATTTTTTATACATTGTAGACTACAGTAATAATATCTCTCTCTTTGTTATATTTGAAGAAAATGAAAAGGATAGATATAGATATCAATTATTCTTATTGGTTTTTAATAAGTATGTGAAAGAAATTGTACAATAAATGTGTTTACTGCGTGCACTTTTGAGTGACAATTTTTATTAACGATTATACGATACGAATTATGTTAATGGAAAAAAAAAGTACGTTGACACAAGATCTGATAATGTTTTTACGATCGACCGATTATCCCTCTTTCATTGCAGTGCAAAAACTGAGGGGTCTGGGGTTCACGAAGGCGAGAAGAAATGAGGTGGACGTGACACAATGACATGATGAAGAGCCTGGTGGGGATCATGTGGATAGTGTTGGTGCTCATATCAGGTACGTATGATCAATCTAGAGAAATCGTATTCCCGCACAATTCACAAAATTTTACTTTATTGTTCCGAATATTCCAACTGATCTTTCGTGAAACACATATTACAAGTATCATTCATTATTTTTTTTTTTTTCTTAAAAAGAGACATAAATATACAATATAAATTATTTTTATTTAAAATTTTTATATAAAAAATAACTTTTATGCGATAAATGATTTAACAGATTGATTCCTATAATTATGAATTTGAATTCCAAATGGAAATACACAATAAAAATATTGTTGACTCGATTAATTTAAATTTTCGAGGAAGAACGAATTGTAGCATAAATAAATATTGCACGGTTTATAATTCATTTCCAATTCCAGATCATTTAAAATTTTGTACTTTCCATTGTAATAGATAAAAATTTTTCAATAAATGAAAATATCTTTTGCCGATATTTCCATTTCGGGAGAAATATGCGCAGAAATGTACAATACATATGTATTACGTATTGTACTGTATATTACTCTTGCGTGCATACGACGAATAACGACTGTAAATGTGCACGTGGCCGCGAAATCTATTTGAGGCTCGTAAAGCATTTTCCCATGTCCCGTGAGTGTGTTTACGGGCCAAACGTCGCTATAATCACAGGAACGCGCGCGTCGTTACACGCATTCGCATTGGCGTACATATGCTCGTGGCCCTACGACGAGATGCGTACGTTATTGTGATTTGTGAGTATGGACACGTATAGCTGGTCGTCCGCGTTTACGGCGGCATTTCTCCGCGTTGTTTTTACGCGGCCACATACGCGGAGTGCACTCACGAGACGGTACCGTCGTATTTCATCCCTTTCTTTTTTTTATCGGGGTAAATGTACACGAGTACACGAGCTGAACAGCGGAGCAAATGACACTATACGAAACACCGGTATTTTCAAATGAACTCTTGAATGGATAGTTGACTATCTCCGATTAAACGTAATTTTTTATGCATGTAATTATTAGTCGTTTCCTTTTTGTATTACACAGTTTAACAAAAAAAAAAAGAAAAAAAATACCAAAACGAGATTAGTTCTTTCCAGTAGTTTTTGGAATGCTGAATATGAATACAGTTTCCTAATTGCTCCATTATGTTACAGTTTTGAGAAATTTGCAGTTGAAGTTGCAAAAAAGGATTACTTTATGTATTCTGTCATAATTACAAGATGTGACGTGTTGTCAAAAGTTTTATTGTAATCAAAATTAAGTATGTTGTTAGGCCTTTCAACGCTCGGAAAAAATTTTTTATGTCGGTTATGGTTATGGTGATCATATTTTCTTCGAGAAAATAAAGAATTTGAAAATTTTAGAGCTAGAGTTGTTTCTACATATTTTCAAGTTTATGATTGTTAGGAATCCGCGTTACGAAATTTTTTTTTATACAATATATCAAAATGAAATACTGTGCAGTTTTCTAATAATTTTGAACTTCGATTGTATTAAAACAATTCCTTGATTTAAATTTGGAATAGGTTTGAAATAATGAAAAATGAAAACGGAGCTAATCTAAATAATTTTAATTTAAAAATTAAAAACATAACTTACATAACAAGACATATTAAATATATATATTTATATTTTAAAAATTTATTCATTAATACGACATCAAACATTGAAACTCTAATTAGAAAAGAATTTCCTAAAATGAAGGGTAAAATGAAGGGTTAAATAAAATAAAAAGCAAATAAAGAATAAAAACTTAAATTAAAAACTTAAACTAAGGACAAAATTGAATTTTGAGAAAATAAATGAATTTAAAAGAGCTACCTGATATAAAAGACTACTCTTTAGAATAAAGAATGTATAATTAATAAGATTCATTAAATATGAAAAAATTTCATTAAATATGAAAAACTGTGAATTATATTGGCGGTTTATTGTTTATTGATAGTTTATTAATAGTTAATTATGTTTATTTAAACTTAAGAATTTTTTTATCACCGGATATGAATCTAAAATCAAAATTGACAAATTCCAAATGGTGAATTCATTGGATAATCTGGATATTTAAGTTTAACATCCGCCATATTGAATCCACCATTTTGAATGTGTCAATTTTAACATCAGATTTGTATTCAGCAAAAAAACATGAAGTTTTTAATCAAATCAATAATGATCTGATTCATAACTTTTTCATAATAGATTCTATATTAACCATAAATATCTTAACCATAGTCGACACAAAAAATTCCTCTCAAGGATTGAAAATTCTAATAATATACTTAATTTTAATTTAAAAAAAATGTTTCCAGCCCATCACATATTGTAGTTATAATATGATAAAATACTTAAAAATAATCTTTTGCATAATCTTTTTGCAAATTCAATTACAAATTTCTCGAAATTATAACGTAATGGAACAATTTGGAAACTGGATTCATATTCAGCGTTCAAAAAACTGCGGAAAATGATTAGTTTTCTTCTGGTGTTCGAAAAAAAGTTTTTTATTAATTGTTGTTATCAAAGCTAATAATTCAAAGAGGACCCGCTGAACATAAAACTTTATCATATGTTTTTTTATCTTGGTATCAGATTATATTGTCAATTGTATATCCATGCATGATTGTCACCTTTTCATCTTTCTTATGGCTTTTTGAACAAATCACCGGCAAACGGAAAGAATCTCCGGCACTTTAAATTTGAATAATCTTTTTTTGAGAAGAGAGAACAATACGGATGCTCGTACACTTTGTTTTTGTTGATTTTTAAAAGGAATCTCTGGCAGAAGAACTTTATCGATTTATTATAGAAAATCTTTTTATTCTTTTTTTTTTTTAGAAAAACATTATGATAACAATAGCGATTTCAAATATACTAAATATGCCAATGAATGAAAAGGTTTTTGACAAATTTACAATAAAATAATTCTACGAATTTACAATATGTAAATAAAAAATATATATCATAAACTTTTTGATGGTTAGAGACAAAGAATTTTTTTAATTAGAGTATACAAGACATTGTTCCAAAATTCTGGAAAGAACAAAACTGATAATCTTTTTATTAGAATTCGGAATTACTCTTGGCAGCCTTGTAATATTTGTTAATTAATGTTAATTTTAATTCAAATTTGACAAATTGTTTGCGCCTAATTATGCCTTTGAAATAGTCTGTATAGTTAATGTATTTAATTATAAAATCGAGTAAAAACGTACGATGATTGTTACAGCAACATCATACGTCATTAAAATTTATCAGATCGCAGATATGTGTAAAATCAATAAATTATAAATGCATAAAATGTATCAACATTTTGAAGCACATAATTGTGTAAACATTTGAATTTTTTATTACGTTAACAAATATTTCTCTAAAATATGAATACCAAAATTAAATTGTTATAAAAACAACGTGTTGTGACGAAGGTTCATTTAAAAGTCCTTTTCAATTAAAAAGTTGCAATATTTTTGATACACGTACATAAATTTTATTGTTACTATTGTTACTTGAAAATATAAGCGTGAAGTATTTGACGCGCTAGACCCGAATGAAATCGAAACGCAGGGAAATCGGATCTTGAGATCATCACTATTGATATTCTTACAGATGACTTTAGCTCTTCGTAGCTGTAATCTTTCCGGTTGGTTTTGAATCCAATTTCTCTGGGACTACCTTCTGATACAGACGAGTCGGAAGAATCTCCTCCCCGGCTGGCTCGGTTTCAAAATTGAAATCACTAGCGACCACGTTGCATCGTGCACGCGTTTTAGTCGGGGGGACGGATGGAAGCTCGTAAAACGGCAATAAAATGGCATGCAAGCGTAATAAATAATATAACGGCAGGCCGAATCCGATTTTGGCGACTCTATCGTAATGACGAGATATCGACACGTATTTGCGCCTCGTCAAACAGGGAAGGAAGTTTTTGTCGCCTTTATATATAATCGGCGCCAATCTGTCGTTGGAAAATGGGGATTTTCTCTTTTCGACGCAAACGGATAAATTATAAAGTTTTGCTGCACGTTTTTTATATAAGTATAAAACGGCACTTTGATAGACAGCAGGAGAAAATTATTGGCGAGAATTATATATATATATATATATATATTCTTTTGTCTTGTTTAATCTTAGCAATATAATTTCCGATACGATGTCGATACGAGTCTTGAAATTGATTCCTTCGCTACGAGCTGAAGATTGAAATTTATCGCGTTTTAACAAAAACGTTATATTTGACATCTTGATTACTTGTTCTCAAGTGTAATAAACGGAGTTCCGCTCAACAACGGAAATCCGCTCGCAAACTTTCGAGATACGAATAAATAATTAATGTTAAAAGAAATTTATGGATAGAGAGAAGAACGATGTTCTTTCAACGTACATACATGGTATTACGTCTTCGCGATGCGATCCTAGGGAAATGTGGCCTTTCAGGCCACACGCTTTGTGGCCTCCAATATATAATCGCGAGAGTTCGCAGTGTTGTACGCGGAAGCTCAACATTTTACTTTGAAATTGCAAATAAGTGGAGAGAACGGGTTCGGACGGCGACGGCGTATTCGTATCTTCCGGCCTATGTGTTGGTCTTTATAATAACCGGTACGGTAACACTTTATGCGCGCCACCGTACGGCAAAGGGTTAAATATGCGCAAAGCGAAATCCACACGGCACGCTCACACGGGCACGGATAATGGGAAAACTACGAAGCGGAATTACCGAGCTGTCCTGTGTGTGTGTGTGTGTGTGTGTGTGTGTGTGTGTGTGTGTGTGTGTGTGTGTGTGTGTGTGTGTGTGTA